TTTAATACATTGATACTGTTAAAGGGGTCCTATTGTGCTCTTTTACAAAGTCTTGATTTTGTTTTGGGGGTGTACTAGAACATGCTCTCATACTAGGTTGTTCGAAAAACACATTATTTTTCACATATTTTACATTATTTCAACACCTCTCTCCCCAGTCTGGCATGAACGGCTCAAATAGTTCCTGTATCAAATGAAGGCCCGCCTTCTGAAATACGAATTGTGCTGTGATTGGTTAGCTGGGCCAGTATGTGCTGTGATTGGTTAGCTGGGCCAGTATGTGCTGTGATTGGTTAGCTGGGCCAGTATGTGCTGTGATTGGTTAGCTGGGCCAGTGTGTGTTGTGATTGGCAGCACTCGGCGCCTGGTCGGGAAATGTCATGCCCCTTACCATAGCCGTCTGCGAGCTTCAGTGTAAATATTGCGTCAAAATCAAATCAATTTGAGCGTGATTTAAACCCGGATGATTGTAACCACTCTTAAGTTCGTCTGCCTTGGGAAAGCTAGTGTGTTTCCGACATAGTGATAACACTCGCTGCATTCTCTAGTGCAGCTCAACCCGGTCTCGTCCCATTCGTCGATATTTGTGATATCACAAATCCCGGAAAATATGCGTTGTAGTCCAAACGAGTCGTTCGTTGTAGTTTTTGAAAAGTGATTTCTGTTAAATAAAATATCTCCTTTTGAAGTGGACTTTGAGCTTTGTAACTTTGCAGATCTTTTTTATGCTCAAACAGCAACATTACAGTATATAACATATATACGGTATGTGTGTGTAGTTATATATACATAATAAGTATACACACTACACAGTGCACGCACACACATATTATGTAAACAAAAACCTTTATTTTGGATGCCATTAATCGTTTGAAAGCGCTAATCCTTATATATTTATAAACAGCGGGAAAATCAGCATCCCTGATGGTTACAAGTTCAGTGCAACTAGATTTGTAATGTCACTGTCATTAAAGACTGAATCTGGTTACAAAACCAAAACAATGTTCTTTATAAACATATGAATCTTCCATGCAGCCTGTAATGATTTGTTCGAGGCTTTGTGACTGTTATCTCTCTGTGTCCCATCCCAGCCCAGTGCGGAGAGCATGGCATCTCTGTGCCTGAGTCAGCAGCGCTGTGTGAAGGCCTCGATCGCGTCGCAGTGGCAGCTGGCCGAGGCGCAGGACCAGCTCTGCGGTTTGGAGCTCCACAGCTCTGAGTCTGTGGAGCAGGAGCGCGCCCGAGCCCTGGCCTCCTCCGCGGAGCTCTCGCAGACCGAACAGGAGTGGAGACATAAAGAGACCATGCTGGGACGGAGCCCCACTCTGTGCCCCGAGGCCAGCCGAGATGTGTTTGACAAGGTATCTCATATCAGCACTCTAGAAAAGTCTTATATTTATCAGAGCATTGAGCAGGATACAGACCACTGTGACTGTGATCTCAGCACTGAGCTCGGAGTCTAAATATAAAACACACAGCAGCATTTCCCCTTTAGAGGCCTGTGATGTTTTGGAACGGAGCTAACAGCAAATATATGAATAAAATTAATATCTATACACTTATGTTTGTTACTTTCCTTTGAACAGCTAAATATACACTACCATTCAAAAGTATGGGGTCAGTAAGTATTACTTTTCATTCAGCGCTCAAATATTAAATTGATCAGTAAATCGATCATGTCAGTAGAGACATTTATAATATTTCTATATATGTATATGTACATATGTGAAATAAATGCTGTTCTTTTGAACTTTTTAATCATCAAAAGAATTCTGGAAAAAGTATCAAATCTGTTTTCAACATTGATAATAATAAAAACATTATTAATAATTGAGCACCAATAATAATTAAGCATCAAAGCAACTTTCTGAAGGATCATGTGACTCTGAAGACTGGAGAATGATGCTGAAAATTCAGCTTTGATCACAGGAATAAATTACATTCTAAAATGTATTCAAATAGAAAAATGTTGTTTTAAATTGTAGTAATATTTCACAGTATTACATTTTTTTTCTGTATATTTGATCAGATAAATGCATTACAGAGACTTCTTTCAAAAACAGTAAAAAATCTTCTGGTAGTATAAACTTTTTAAATAGAGACTTCCACTCAGCTATTAGTTCAAAACGGAATGTTTTTAATAGTTATGTTTTTTGCAAACCAAACACTAGCATTATGCTGACTATCCTGGCCACTCTTTTCCCTATATTGAATGTGAATTAATAAGTCAGGAACTCAGGATATTGTTCAAAAATAGCTTGAAATGGCATTCCTGAACTATTTATTCAACAAAAGCGTTAGTTACTTCATTGTTAGTGGATAATAAGCTTACACAAAATAAATATTCTGTAACACATATTGTTTAACACATTATATTATAAGTGCACATGTGTAGATTGCTGATGCCCCGTTTCTCATTGTTTCCTAGAGTATCATAAACCGTTCACAGTCTTGGCCTAATGAATCCGATCACGATAAGAACATAAGCTTCGTCCAGCGTAATGAAGAACTCTTGAAACATTTTGGTAAGTCATGGAGCTTGATTTGTGTGTTTATTAGTGGAGATTGTTCATCTGAATTGAGGTTGTCCTCTCTGTTCTGATTGGACAGGTATGTTGAGGAGGTGGGATGATAGTCAGCGCTTTCTAGCAGAGTACCACCATCTCATCTGTGAAGAAACGGCCAATTATCTGATCCTGTGGTGCTTCCGTCTGCAGGCAGAGCAAGTGAGTGCATACAAGCTGTACTGTTTCTACAGTATGTACCGTGTGCCTTCATGACCTACTACTGATCCTCATTGTCTGGATCTTCTGCAGAAAGAGGCATTAATGGAGCAGGTGGCTCATCAGTCAGTCGTCATGCAGTTTATTCTGGAAATGGCCCGCAACACTCAGCAGGACCCACGAGGCTGTTTCCGTCAGTTCTTTCAGAAAGCCAAAGTAAGTGCAGACATCACCTTCAACCTCTGCTGCGCTTTTCCCAGTGGTGTTTTGGACAATGCATTACACATCTTTCACTGTACATGACTTATTCAGCCAGAGAGGTACAACAGCAAGTCCTCAAGGTTATTCGCAAAAATACACTACTGGTCAAAGGTATGGAATAATTAAGGGCTTTTTATTTTTGAAGGAATGCTCACATGGCTCAAGATGGTGCGATTACATATTGTGAGCGGTTGCACTGGCCGACCACCGTGTTGTTCAACTCATAAGCGCTGCCGTTTCTGTTGAATATGAGAAACATCAAACGGCAAACGAAACGAAAGCGAATCCAAACCGGTCTGCGCTGCGCAGCTCAAACGTAGCACGGACCGTTTATCAGCTCGGACCGCAACGCAAACAAACTTGTCTGAGCTCAGAATAGCTTTACTCGGGAACCAAAGTTGATTCCGCGACACTGTTGCTGCTAGGGCTGGGAAAATAAAACGATGCATCGCGAATCGAGAAATGATTCAGCATCAATTCTGAGATTTTCCGAATGCATCGCGATTCTTTCTCGAGTCGATTCTGAGCATAGTTTTGAACAGCAGATGGCGCTGCAGGCTTTAGAAACAGCCGTACTCTGCTTGTTTCCAAATCCTTACACACACTGAACCTAAAATAATCATTCATAAAATTTGAAAAGGTTGAAGCGAATTACAAGGGTGTTCACAGTGGGCTGTGTTTACATTAATCTGCCGTCATAAAAGCATTCTGAGCCGAGGTGAAATTACAGACTCAGCCGAACGCACAAGCGCTCTTCAGCACTCTTCTTCATGAGCATTTGAGTGTGCGGATAAAAACTCGATTAGAGCGCCATCTGCTGTTAAAACCTAAGCTCAGAAGCGATTCCAGAGAGAATCGCGATGCATTCGGAAGATCTCAGAATCCATCCACGCATCGATTCTGCATCGATTTATCGTCACAGCCCTAGTTGCTGCACAGATCCAGTGAGAAGCATTTGAATTTGCCGCCCAATAAATAAGGTTGCTGCGAGATCTAGCAAAGTCCCTTTAAGGCAAGTCATGTCACTCGGCGGCCATCTTTGAAACGCCTTTCGGGCATGCAAGTGCAGCTCCTATCTCTTTGAATGGGGAAACATCAAATTCTCCAAAACTGTTCACTAAGCTTACGATTTAATTTCATATTTGAAATCACCAGAAATCTGACAAAACAACTGTATCGTAAATGTTGTTTATTTCGCTCAAATAGCGTTAAAAAAGCTTGTTTCTCAGGCTAGACCAGCCAGAGCGCATGCACAGTCCTAGGCGCACGTCTCGGAACGCTGACTGTTTCTATAGCAACCAGGACTTCTAACGGCAGCTGCAGGGATGCGCTGACCTTACCGATTAGGGATTGGCTCTTTTGCTCAGAAGGCGGGGCTTCGTTCGATAGAGCGGCCATATTGAGCGTTGCATTTCTCCCCATTCAAAGCACTTCTTGGGTATTCTATAGTCTTTGGGTCTAGTGAGAATCATTCAAATTCTGCTCAGAATTCTCTGTTATAAACAGCGCTGACGTACGGCAGAAAACCAGAAGTATTAACGCTAACTGTAACCATGGTGTTGTGGCAGAAATAGACAAATGTTATTACATTATTAATTTCCGGGTTTGTACAACCTTTTGAGAGAGAATTTTTTTTCAGTGACTTAACTATTTCCAGCACTTTAAAGCTCTAAAATGATCCAATTTGAATGTTATTTTTAATGGGATGACCAAAATATACTTTGTGGTAAACAAACGCTTATGTAAAATTTAAAAATACATAAACTAACCATTATAACCAGTAGATGGCAGCAGAGGAGCACTTCTTGGCTTATTAGTCATTCATTTCTACTTTTTGCTTTGTATTTTGAAATGATAAAATCACATTATAAAATATAAAATCAAGAAATCAGATTTATTTTTTTCGAGTTGTACACTTTTTTTGTGTATGAAGTAAGAAAAGTCACAAAGTGCCTTGAAAAACAAACTTTTCTTCAATTTGCGACTAAATCACACATAATCACTGAAGTTGGTCAGTTCCATATAATACTATAGAAGAGAAATGGTACATTTAATAAGAGTGGAATATATAAATGTTCTATGTAAGAATTAGATTTTGCACATGTTACTGTTGTTAATAAAAGTACATGTTGTATGCTTCCCAACTCAAGCTTAGTGCTTTACTGTCAAATGTCTATAAACAAGAAATGAACATGTAATATTATTTGTAACTGTACTTATTAATGCAAAACAATAGTAATTTTATGATTAAATGATCTATATTTTTAATACTCCCACACACCATCCCCAGTGCTACCAGATCTGCTCCTGGCGCCACTGTCTGTTGGACACTGCTCTCAAATGTTCATCTGGAGCCCTGGCTCACCAAGCCTGCATTTGTTTGATCAAAAATACAATAAAAATAGTAATATTGTGAAATAATATTACAATTTAAAATAACTGTTTTCTATTGTGATGTATTTTAAAATGTAATTTACTCATGTCATGCAAGGTTGAGTTTTCAGCATCATTACTCCAGTCTTCAGTGTCACATGATCCTTCAGAAATCATAATAATAGGCTGATTTGCTGCTCATTTCTTATCAATTATTATTGGTGCTCAATTATTAATAATGATTCTTATTATCAATGTTGAAAACTGTTATTACTGCGTAATATTTTTGGAAGCTATTTTAAGGATTCTCTGAGATGAATATTGAAATATAATTTTTTTGTAACATTATTAATGTCAATATAATGAAAATAAATGTATTGTATTCATTTTTTTAAAGAAAAAAAATGTACCACTATTACTAGTTTACTATTCAACTTTTAAATGGTAGTGTATTGCGATTTCCACAGAAATATTAAGCAGCACAACTGTTTTCAACATTGATAATAATAATAATAAATGTTTCTTGAGCAGCAGGTCATCATATCAGTATGATTTCTGAAGGATCATGTGACACTGAAAACATTGCGAGTAATGTTGCTGAAAATTCAGCTTTTATCACAGGAAAAAAAATTACATTTTAACGCATTAAAATAGGAAAAAAAGAATAGGAAAACTTTACAAATGTTCAAAATGGAAAAACTCTTACATTGTAATAATATCTCACAATATTTTTGATCAGATAAATGCAGCCTTTCGTGTAGTCAGTCCGAGTGAGTGTGAGTGTTATGCAATAATGTCAGTGACCACTAGAGAGAGACATGACATAACTGAAGTTCATATTCACACATTCATCCAAACCTCTTTCATATTTGCACTGAATGCATTTTGAATCATATTTATTCTGGTTTGCTCTTCTTTTTTTCTTTCTTTTTTTAAGGCAGGGCAGGAGGGATACTTGGACGTCTTCCACACAGAACTCAACGACTTTAAGCAGAGAGTTAAAGAGTATACCATGAAGTCAAAAGGAGAAACCCCAAAGGATACAGTGCACCAAAACACACCGGCAGGCTGTCGCCTCGACCCCAACGAGGTTTTGGAGTCTTTGCCACCGGTACGAAAGATTATTGAATCTCTGAAGCCCATAATATATTTTAAAATGTAATTTATTCCTGTGAATTTTCAGCATCATTACTCCAGTCTTCAGTGTCACATGATCCTTCAGAAATCATTCTAATATGCTGATTTGCTGCTCAAGAAACATTTCAGAAATTATTATCAATGCTGAAAACAGTTGTGCTGCCTCATTTTTTTGGACACTGAACAATTGTTTTTTTCTTTAAAAATTCAAAAGATCAGCATTTATTTGAAATAGAATTTATGACTATGAAAATGTCTTTACTGTCACTTTTGATCAATTAAATGTGTCCTTGCTGAATAAAAGTATACTTTTCTTTTCAACTTTTCAACACTAGTGTAGCTAGTAACAAAATCTAATCTAAGTCAAATGTTGAATTTGCAGGAGCTGAAAACATGCATCCAGATGCAGGATATGCAGATTCTTCAGAACGTGCTGAGCAGCATGAACACGCAGGTAATGCTGCAGCTTTATGCTGTGAAACATCAGAACGTGTCAACCATTCTCAATCAGGTTCTGGTTTGTCTTTTTTTATTATTATTAGTGCTGTCAAACGATTAATCGCGATTAATCGCATCCAAAATAAACGTTTTTCTTCCCATTATATATATATGTGTGTGTACTGCGTTTATTTATTATGTATATATAAATACACACACATACAGTATATCTTTTGAAAATATTTACATGTATATACATTTATATATTTATATTATTATATTTTATATATATGTTTAATATATAAACATAACATATTTTTCTTTAAATATATACATGCATGTGTTTGTATTTATATATACATAATAAATATACACAGTACACACTAATATATTATGTAAACAAAAACTTTTATTTTGGATGCGATTAATCGCGATTAATCGTTTGACAGCACTAATTATTATTATTCATGTTGAATAATAAATGGTTCTTGGTTCCCAACCCTTCAAATCAGGTGCAGTGTTACAGCTTAAGGCCCCGATCACACCGAACGCGTTTTTTAGGTCTGAAACTTTTTTGGTGACTTTTAAAAAAGAGCAGTGTGTTGCGTTTTTTTTATGTTGCTTGGCAACCACCAAATCAGCTGTCCTGTCGGTCTAATCAAAGGATTATAGCGCGAGCGCTCTAAAATCTTTGGGTTTTGCTGTTAAGTAAACTGTCATATTAGCAGAAACCTTCAAAAATACAGCTCCGGGTAACACGCGACAGACACTAAAAATTTCTCCTCCATCATTGCAGTCTCCAGACTTTCTAAGCCACGGTAAACTTTCGTCATCACAATGAAAGGCCCGCCACACCGTTCATTCAATTGGACAATGGAAAAAAACGTGAAGTCGGGCGCTTTTTCTGCTCAGAGTTGCTTTTTTTTTCAACTTCAGGCGCTCAGAGCGCTCCTGCAAAAACGCGAGGCGCAGCAGGCGGCGAAAACGCGAGGCGCACAGGGCGCATAATAAACAGCGCGCTGAACGCTCACTGCCAACCGAAAACAATTTTAAAAAGGCGCCTCTCACTGCAAAAAACGCGTTCTGTGTGATCGGGGCCTAATGGTGTGTTCACACCAGACGCGAATGTAATTATTTGCGCGAGTAGATGCATTTTAGACGAGAATAGAGGCGAATTCGCGCCGGGCGACGCGAAATGCGCGACGCGTTTGCCGGGAACGCACGATATTCGCCTCAATCGCGTCTTTCGCGCAAGTTCAAAAATTTCAA